ATTGTAATAGGGGTATATTTGTCTCATTAATTTTTTTCTTATTTTTAACAATCTAGAATAGTCATTATCAAAGGAGGCATTGATAATGGCTACTCAGACTTTTGTTGAAATGATTATTTTGAAGAATAACTATTCTATTGAACCAAATGAAATTTTATCTCAAGAATGAGAATAGAGGAGGAATGACTCTTCCATTCCCTCCAAATAAGCATGCCCTCATGAGTGGTTTGATTTGGTTAGAGTCTGGTTTTCCTACAATAGAAGTGAAAAACAAATAATAGCAGATTTCAACAACCCTAAGCTCGAATAAGAAAAACTGAAAAAATTTTGATTTCAACAATAAAAATTCAAAACCAAAATAACCCAATTAGATTTCAAACCAGGAGCAGGAAGAAGAAGAAGAGACCAATGGCAATCCCCTCGGGTTATAACAAAATGGGGGAGGGTTTCGACTGTTTGCTGAAGCGAAAATAGATAATAATGGTGAATCAATTTTTTTACTCTTCGAATAAATGGTAAAGTGAGATTATATTGATTTTTAGTTGTAATATGATTATATCTGTTAAGTGTAATGTGATCGTAATGTAATGTTTCATTATATTGATTTTTTCTCTTATCAAACATGATAAAATATTAGTAAAATTATATAATTAATGTTTATATTCAGTTAAAGTTGTGGATTTAATATTGTATAATAATTTATAAGAAATAAGTCTTTATACTTTTAAAATTGACAATATCATTTTAATCATTAATGACATTAAAATTTTTTTACTATTTATGCTTACACAGTATTTGATTGTATAAATATAACTTTGAATATAATGATGTGGTATTCAACAATGATGTAATGATTATGTCCCTAAACAAAAATCATTGCATGATTATTATATGTCACATTATTAGATTCAATACCATATCATCATATTTAAATGTCACGTATCAATACAATTAAATATCATGTTAATATAAATAATAAAAAAATTTTAACATAATTAAATTAACATTATCAATTTTAAAAAATCTAAAAATTTAATTTATATAAATTATTATATAAAAATGAAATCTATCTCTTCAATAAAATATATAGATTAATTACATAATTTCACTTAAAATATTTTTACCACTCAGGCTGCAACGAATGTTAATAACTTCTCTCACAGCAAACGTTGCCATTAGTGTTAAGTAAGCCAATCACATCGTTACAGGTGGTCTCCCTTCCTTAGGAAAAGTTGATCATGATCACGTAACAGTAAAGTCATTTTCACGTACTGAAAAAAGAAACAAGCTACACCATTTTAAACCTATTATCGATCCATTCTATAAATTCAAATATCCGCCATGCAAATTTGTGGCTTTGTCCTAATGCGCAATAAATCTATAATTAATTAGTAATTAAATCAGTGATTAAATATTTAATTTAATAGTAATTGCATATATTTATATTTATATGATCAAAGTTTCATTCCTCAAAATAAAAGCAAAAATTAAAAAGATAATAAAATCAAAATTTATCTGTTTATTTAAGGTGATGGGCCAAATTTATTCTTGATGTTTAATCAAGTATTGTAATTATAATATTATACTTTTAATTTGATTAAAAAACAGTAAAAAAATTAACTGCAACAAAAAGAGAATTTTTTTTTTACTTTTTATGAAATATTCATTTGACTGTTAATTTTTTTAATCTTTTTAACCAAACTAAAAGTACATTGTTAAAATTAATACACTTGTGCAAATTTAGACTTCATTAATTAAAAAAATAAAGAGTAATAGGATTTGCATATAAAAACGGAGTCGTATGGGTTTCATGTTGGTGCAATAATGAATTTTGTCAAGGCTTGCTAGTTTAATCAGTCAATTTACAAAAGAGTAGCACACATAAGATAGGATGACAATTAAAGGACGGTTAGGCCGGTGACCCAACAAGTACAATATTGAAAACGATCGTTAAAAAGGTATTCCCATTTTATTAGTGGCACTATATCTCTTCTCCATTTGCGTTTTGAATTGCTTTAGCTTAGTTACTGTCTATGACATCCTATTAACTTTCAACATTTTTAGGTAATTTAATCATTAATTGTGATGTACACATTGTTCAATAAATAAAAAATAAATTATATAACGCTTAAAAGAGTTTTTAAATTATTTAAAAATTTTAAATAAGTTTATTTTTTATTTTATAATTAATTAATTATTATTAATTAAAATATCACTTATTATTTATATGTTATGTAGTGTCGACGAGTTATGCTGACATGTCATAGTAAACGATAGTGTTGCATGTTAATGTAATATAATAACATGGTTACATTTAACATCATGTCAATGTTATATGAGTATGAAATTTTAAGTAATATTTTATATAGTTATCTTTAATCAACTTTGGTTATAAAAATTTATTTAATTTAAAATAAAAGTATATGGATTCGATTGAATATTATTGAAAAATAAAGATTTATATGAATTTTTTTAAATAATTTAAATTTTTTTTAAAGTATTATGTCAAAATAGGTTAGTGAATATAAAATAAAAACACGTGGCAACCACTAAGAACATAATTTTACAATAAATTTAAGAAGAAATATCAAAATTAGGAAAGAAAAAGGAAGAAAGGGGAAGAAGATTTGTTATAGCAAAGGAAATAATGGGACAGAGAAGGAAGTGCCGGCCATTTGAAATGGTAGGCGAAAAAAGTAGTGAGGACCCAGAAAAAGGTCGGTCACAGGCTTTACGGCTTTACCTGCTCATCCATGCCTTTTCACAATAGAGCAAATCCAGCCTGACCTTGCACAAACAAAAGTCTTTATCATTTATTTACTTTTTCATTTTTTAAATAAGAAAAAGATTCTTTTTAATCAATTAAAATATTTTTTCCTTTTTTTATTAATTAGTGAGGACGGTATTTTTCTTTTTTAACTTATGCATATAAAATCGCCAAGTAATTAAGTATTTGACTTGACAGGATTTCAGGATGCAAGAATTTGGACCGCAGACCATTTTCAATAAATTATCAATATTCATTCGTGCAAGTCATCTAATTTTTTTTTTAAAAAATGTAATTTTTGAATATTTTTATAATTATTATTCTATACACATCAATAATTGAGATTTCGAGCACTACAGATGAGTTTACTAGATTATCAAGTATCATTTAATAATTATATTAATTGATTACAAAAAAATAAAAAAAATTTGTGATATACATTTAAACAAGAAAATATTTAATAATTTAAAAAGAAAAATATACGCTCTTCACACAATTCTGGCAGCATAGCAGGGGTAAGCTACTCTACTGGAATAAATGCAAAACTAGAATTGAGGTTGGCTTGGGGTTGATGCCTCATTTATCAAGATATATTTGGTGTTGATGCAAATGAAATTTAGACAGAATTCAAATAATCAGTAAAATTGTTTTTAAAGTGAATTTTTTAATAGATGTTATTTTAATATTTATTTTGTATTAATTTTTTTGTATGAAAAAGCAGAATTATATGAATAACCTTAAAAATACAATGAAAATTAACGTTTAACTTCCTCACTACCTTTTAAGATAATAGACCATTAAATACATCCTAGGGTTTGTAAAGTTATTTAACTTTAGAGTTTATTTTTTTGTAGTAAGTAAATTATCAAGAATTTAAATTCTTTTAATAGATAATGAAAACTCAAGTATTTATGTTTATTTCAAAATATAACATTTTTATGGCTTTTAATTTTTCTGTTCTTGTTTTTAATGCATCAATATAGTTGGCAATAAGTCCTTTATAAGGTTTGCAAGTATCTCTTTTCACGAACACAATCTTTTCATCAAAACACTTTTTGGTTTTCAAGATATTTTGCATTTTGTAAAACACACATAATCATGATAAAGATATTATTTCAATAATCATTTTATAAAAAGATAACCATTTATGTCATAAAAAAAATATTTTAGCTATAATATGAAAAGATAATTTTTTATATCTAAACTTTCGAGTTGATGTTTTTCTAATTGTCTCATAAACTTTAAATTTAAAAATATATTTTCAATATATCACTTTGTCGAGAGATATAATCATTCGTATGAAAAAATCACTTATAATCCAATAATCACATTATATCACATAACCTACGCAAAATTCAATTGCTTTAACGTAAAGCTATGTCCGGCATTTCTACTTCTACTAGGTTGCAATTAGAGGGTTGGAAGCCCAAGCTGTACACCAAATGTAACACTAATTATCTTGTTGATGCTAGACGTGGCATCAGAAATGGAATTATTTCTTGTGTAGATATTGTATTAAAATGTTGAACCATTCATAAGCAGGTAAAAAGGGTTTCATCACAATAACTCAATTGATGAAACCCAGTCTTCAACTAGTCAATAAAAACTGAGCAATTTAGCCCCAGTTATATATATATATATATATATATATATATATATATATATATATATATTCATTTAATCTTTTGGGCCAAGTTGTCCCTCCGTGATCACTCGTCCCTGTGCCACTGCATTAATTTTGTATTTCTCTTTCTTGGCAATAATCCCATTTCATGGTTTCTCAATACTATACTTAGCTGAAGCTGAGAGTATGGTGCTGAGGCTGTAACAGCTGGGGAAATTCTCTGCATCGTCCTACTTCATTCTACCGTGATAGTTTGTCGTGTTATTTAATAACTTGCATGCTTAAATTCATCTCTTTAATTCTTCCTATAGAAAGATGCATGGAATGGACTAAGGCAAATGCCGATATAGGAATAAGGTATAGGAAAGGAATATGAAGAACCCTTTATGGTATAATTAAACTTGTAAGAATTCTTAGCCCCTTTTGCTGCTTTAGGAAGAATGCTTTAAGCAGCAAAAGGGGTAGAGAATTAATACTCTACGTCATCTGGTTTCATGCCTCCATGAAAGAAGCACGCAAAGGTATCGATTCAAGTCATTTTTCATAGTTGGTTTCATTCCAACCTCACAATCAAGAAATCAAACACAAAAGTTGAACAGAGAAATAATAACCCACAGTCGTGTTTCCCTCTGCCTAAAAGGCAAATGGCTGAATCCCTCGCATTTACCATCGGTGAACAACTCTTGGAGAAACTACTAAATCTTCCGGAAAACTTAGGCACCGCCGCCTACCGAGAAATCTGCCTAGCATGGGGCATCAAAGGTGACTTGGAAAAGCTTAAAGGCACCTTAAGCACTGTCAAAGCGGTGCTCTTGGACGCTGAAGAAAAACAGACTTACAATCATGAGCTGCGGGAGTGGCTAGCAAAGCTCAAGAATGCCTATTATGATGCAGAAGATGTGTTGGATGAATTCGAGGTTGAAGTATTGCGGAGTCAAGTCCTGAAACATAGGAGCCTTGGAAGAAAGGTGTGCCATTTCTTTTCATGCTCAAACCCTGTTGCCTCTGCTTTTAGGATGGGCCATAAGATCAAAAGCATTAGAGAAAGGTTTGACGAAATTGCAGCTTTGAAAGATAAATTTCATCTCGTCGAAAGAGATGGCCCCTATCATGAGGACGGTAGGAGTCTCCTGCAGATAAGGGAGAGCGACTCTTCGCTTGAACCTAATGTCGTAGGTAGAGATGATGATAAAGAAAAGATAATAGAAATGTTAATGCATCCAACTGATGGGATTGGGGAGGCAATCCCCGTCCTTCCCATCGTTGGAATCGCAGGTCTTGGGAAGACTGTCCTTGCAAAGTTGGTGTTCAGCGATGAAAGGATCGATAAGCATTTTCAATTGAAAATATGGGTGTGTGTATCAGAGGATGTTGATTTTAAGCAATTGATGATGAAAACCATAAAATCTGCTACAGGTGAAAATTGTAGTGACATGACTAAGGAACAATTGTATAAAGTTTTACGACGTAGTCTGGGTGGGAAAAGGTATTTGCTCATACTGGATGACGTCTGGAACGAAGAAATTAGAGATTGGATTGATCAAGCTTTGTTAATGGACAGAGTCAATGGAAGCAAAATCATGGTCACTACACGTAGTCATCGAGTTGCTGCAATTACAGGCACGCTTCCCCAATACAACTTAAAAGATCTTCCTTACGAGGAATCATTGTCCTTGTTTCTCCAACACGCCTTCAAAAAGGGCAGTGAGAAACAACCTTTGAACCTCGTAAAAATTGGGGAGGAAATTGTTAAAAAATGCAAAGGGATTCCTTTAGCCGTGAAGACGCTAGCAAGCCAACTTTGCTTTGAAACTGCAGAGGATGAATGGAAACGAGTTAGAGACAATGAGATGTGGGAGTTGGAGCAAGAGGGAAAGGGCATCTTTCCAGCTCTAAGACTAAGCTATGACCGACTGCCTCCACATCTGAAGCGATGCTTCGCTTATTGTTCTGTGTTTCTGAAGGACTATGAAATTTCCAATCTTCAAATGGTCTCATTTTGGGTGGCACTTGGTCTTCTTAAATCTTCAAAGGAGAATGAAGTGCTAGAAGCTGTTGGGAAACGATACTTGAGAGAGTTATGGGCTAGATCTTTGTTTCAAGAATTCCAAGAAACACCTTTCTTGATTAGATTTAAAATGCATGACCTTTTACATGATTTTGCACTAAGGCTGGCAAAAGATGAGTGCTCCGTTGTGAAATCATGTAGCCAAGATTTGAGCCAAACGGTTAGACATTTGTCAATTGTTAACCCACATCTATTGCGCCAAGGTGCTCCTAGGTTCTTGGATAAAGCTGGTCGTGTGCAAACACTTTTCTTTCCAAATGTGGAAAAGTTCAATAGTGTGTCTTTCATTGAAGAATGTGTGTCAAGATGTCCTCGACTAAGAGTGCTAGATTCGAGTGAGTCTAGCTTTGAGAAAATGCCAAGAAATATAGGTAAGTGGAAGCATCTAAGGTATCTCAATCTAAGTGACAATGTCAGCATCAAGAAACTTCCGAATTCTATCAGCAAGTTGCAGAGTTTGCAAACGTTGTTTCTTGCTGGATGCAATGCAATCGAAGAGCTGCCCCGAGGTATAAGGTACATGATTAGTCTCAGAATGTTGTTCATAACTACAAAACAGAGGGTTTTGCCAGAGAATGAAATAGGACGCCTCAAGTCTCTTCAGTATTTGTCATTTTCTGAATGTGACAACTTGGAGTATTTGTTCCAAGGGATGCAAAATCTCACATCCCTTCGAACTATGTTGATTTTGTGGTGCCAAAGCTTGGTTTCATTGCCGCATGGCATCAAGTACCTGACTGCATTACAATGTCTGGTGATTTGGGATTGTGAAAAGCTCAGTCTTGATATGGAGTTGGAATTCGAAGGGAAACAAGATGGCAGCCTTCGGTCATTAGCAATCGGAGGATTACCAAAGTTAGTGGCATTGCCCCAGTGGCTTCTTCTAGGATCCACCAAGACTTTGCAGTAGTTGATCATCATGGGATGCGAGAATTTGACAGCATTACCAGAATGGTTCCAAGATGTCACAGCCCTTCAATTGCTGCAGATTGCGGGATGCCCCAAACTATCATCCCTGCCAGATGGAATACAACACTTGACTTTCCTCAACCAATTGGCGATTCAAGCTTGTCCTACATTGAGCAAACGATGCAAACCAGGAATAGGTGAAGATTGGCCCAAGATTGCTCATGTTACTAAGATTGTGCTTGACGGCATTGAGATTGCACCTGCAAATGACCATTATTAGGAGGTTAGAGCCAATCTTTCTCCATTTCAGGGTAGATATTATATGATTTTTTTCTTTAATTTGGGTTTGAGTTATATAAATGGAAGTAATTGTTTCTGATGTTTTCCGTTTAAGCATATACGTTTATACCATTCCATGCAACGTAAATCTTTCTCCTTATGTCTGTGCATATACTACTAGTTCATCCATATATGTTTTTCAAACTCAAGTTAGGTTTCAAGCAAAATTGTTAGTTCTATTAATTGGCAGGGGCAGAAGAGCTTGTTGTTCTGGAGTTCCCCGAGGGTGGGCGTGGACCCAAATATTTAATGTAATTTAATTACAATGTTACCTTTACCTTTGAAAAAATGTTGGTGTATTACAATTTGTATTAACCAGTATGAATAAAACGTACAGGATATGTGTGCCTTTGTAAATTTTATGTACCACGACATAAAATTTCAGGAAGGGAAATGCTATGTCCGAGCACTCACACCATGTTGTCGTCAGTGGTCCGTCTGATTTCATCCATTTGGCATTTACAAAGAGCAGGATGCTTCTGTGGTCTGTTTTATTAAAATGTAATGTAAGATTTAATCTTTCAATTATAATTCACATAAATTGAGTAATTGTACTGTTAATTTTAAAAAATCCAACAAATTTCACATCAACACTAGTGAACGTCACATGTCAATGATCAATACTTACCACATCATCATTAATTAATGTGGCATAAAAAATTTAATGATATAAACGATTAACAAATTCTAGATCTATACGAATTATAATAACAAGATTACATTTTATAAACACATTATATTCCAACATTTTTTCTTGTCACTTCCCTGTAATTCTACGACAACAAAGAATTAAAGAACATATACTCGAAAAGCTCAATAAAAGGTTAGTGCTTACAGTTTGCATCGGTATCCTCTTTGATCTTTCACTCCTCTGGATATGGATGGAGCTGCAGAATACTGATGATTTCCAACAACCTTTTTATTACAATTTTGCAGAAAAACAAAATTAAAACATACCATAACAATTAGAAACATGGATGAGGGATAATAAAGTAGAATGAGAAAAAGATCACTCCAAACTACAGTATCAAAATGCCTGATTGAATCATCCTTCCATATAACATAAGATTGCAATGGAAAATAACACTACTTGACACTGGAAGAATCAGCAAGGGAAAAGAGATTAGCATGCCATTTGTTTGATTTCCTTTCTTTCACTTCCAAAGTATGATCAACAACAACAACTACTACACACAAGTAGCAAACCCAAATTATGAGCAGAAATTCAAAGCCTTTTATTTTTCTTCACTGATTCGAGGCTTTGCTTGGTTGGGAGGATGGGAAGGAGGAAGGAAAAAGTGAAAAAGGTTTAATCCAATGGCTAAGCTACCAAATAGGAAGGTGATTATGAAGCCTAACCATTATAGTAAAAAATATTCCATCCTTCCCCATTTCCATCCCTCCTTTGAAAAAGCTGTACAACTGCAAGACAAAAATAGACATGTATTTCAAGAGAACATTGTCAACAAATATAAAATTGTTTATTGAAAAAGAAACAAGAGCTACTTTGCTTAGCTCACATTACCCAATTGAATTTCTTATTATCACACTTTATAACCACCTACATTGCATGATTTGTAATTTGCATCCATTTTCCATACCATTTCTTAAAAACTGGACATAACAAAACTATCTCATTCTCACGATAATTTTGTTTTTTACAAATTATAGCATGGAACTTGATGGAATTAGTTTCGAAAAATAGTATCAAATCAGATAAGAGACATCCACTAACCTCTCTGTGTAAGTCCTATGGCCAGATATCCAAGAGAAAATCTCAGACCGTTATAAAACATTGAGAGATTGATACATGGCACATTTTTTTATAGAAAATTAAAGAAATTGTAACATTTTTATAGATGTTGTGTAAAGACAGCAAATATGGTACCAGAAGTCTAAAGAATGCTTTTAAACCACCATGCAATCATTGCATTTTAGCAGATTAGACCCAAAACCAACTGTTTTCTCATGGCTATTCTTATTTACTACGAATAAAATGCTATTCATTCAAAGTGCTCTTGTCATGTGCCATGTTGGTTCTCCAACATCCATTAGAATTACATTTATTAAATGTTTTTTAATAAAATTCCCATATGTATATGACACCAAAATACTTGTAGCGCCATCTAAGCATAGCTTTATATGACCTTAAGTGCAAGGTATGGGGCCAAAACGTTGAAATCAAATCTACTAACCCAGTGACCGCAAAGTCTCATTCATCTTTTCTTTCAGCTGACACTTCTTCAACAATATAAGCATTCATTTTGCCTTAGAAAACCTCAGCCAGATAATAAAAGTATTCACCAAGTAGCAGAGATGAGGTTCATAACTGGAAGATATTGCAACACAGTTGTCCAAGACAACAGCTTGCAATCAAAGTTGAGAAGCATATAAGCTTTTCGCTCACATTTGCAGTGACTTCTAGTCTGCATTTATGGAAATGTAACATCAGATTAAGAAATGAATGCTAGCCATTCTATCCGGGTAAAAAATTAGCAACTTTTCAATGGTCAATACCAATAAACCAGTAACATTACATAACAATCCTTTTATTTCTTATTTAAGGAAGTTTTAGCATGAATCATAGACAAAGTGATAGCAGTTCATTTATAAGCAAGGTGTTACCATAAGAGTTAACTTTTGCTAGGATTGTACTTGACTACAAATATTTAAAAAGCAGTTCCCTCTACAGGAAGTTAGGCGCTTGATTAGCTTGACTCATTGCAATTTAACAACACGATTTTACCTCTTACCTTCATGTCAGTCCTCAATTTTAGCACACGATTATATTTATAGCACTTTGGAAATCCAAATGAAGAATCAACTTTCTCATACAACTACTGATTTATTATCGTTCAGGTCTCTTCACTCAAGATCATCCAAAATGAACCAACCATTCAAAGCAAGCTACATTAGATTATACAATCAAGATCTCCAAGTAAATTAATAAGGTTCCATTTAATTGTTACTTTCTTTACAACATGCTTTTTGCATCCCCAAAATGCCGAGTAAACAACAAGTAAATTATGTATTTTTACCTTTTACCTCTGGAATAAAAAAAGTAAGTAGCAAACTCAAAAACCAAACAAACAATCAGAACCAGAGCATCAAGAAAAGACGAAATCCACTGACCAATCTTACTGTGCTCCTCTTCTTTGCGCTTGTTCTTCTTCAACATCTTAGTCCTAGGCTTAACAGGCTTCAAAAACCCAGCTTGCAATCTCACCATCTCCCTCAATATCCCAATCAGAACCCCTTGAACCTCATTTCCATTAGGCTCAATGACCCCCAAGCACCTGGCCACAGCCTCCAAAGTGGTAACACACCCACCAAAGGGCTCTTTTCTTAAAACCAATTCACTATCATAAATACTCCCCCCGCCACACTCTCATCAACTCCATCTAAACAAACCCGTACAGCAAAACCCTTCAAAACCCCTTCACTGGCCCCCACCATCTCCTTAGCATGCTTCCACGTGGCATCAAAAACAATTAAGAGGAGAGGGGTAGTTTGGTAATTGAGGAGGTTGGTGGATTTGAGTTGGGACAGAGTGACGGCAGGGTGGAAGAGGAAGGAGGGAAGAGGTAGATAGCGGGTGCGAATTGGTTGGGAAGGGGTGAGGGAGGAGGCGGCGGGAAGTGATGATAGTGGCGTTGAGGAGGGTTTTGGAGAGGAGTGGGGCGTGTTGAGCTTGTGGCGGGACTCGTGAGGGTGGCGGATAATTAAAATTTTGGATTTGTTTGAAGTGGGGTGGTGGGGAAAACGTGGCAGAGGCAGCATGAAAGTGGGGGTCACACTGGGTGCATAGTTGGCGGCGTTGCGGCGGCGGGAGTTGGTTGCATGGCTGGGTTGGTGTCGTATTCCGGTTCTTCCATAGAGGGCTGTGAGGTTGTCAGCTTGGGGTGCCCTCACCTCAAAACAAGGGAAATTCTTCTGTGTCTAATGGGCGGGCTACCCACCAAGGCCTCTAGCCTGGCCCATTGATTCGGCCTAGTTTTGGTTCATGAAGTAAATTTCCTGGCACGCCGCCTAAATGAGGTAATTCTTATTCCGATGAAATTTAAATTCAAATACTTACTATATGAATTTTATTATTTTCAAATAAAAATTAACAACCTGGAAACCTTTAAAACAACGGAAAATTAGCATAAATATGTCCTAAATAACATTAAATTATTCAATACCAAATTAAAAGAAAATAATGCTAATGATTGAAATTAAATAGTTAATATTTGTCGCATTTTAACTCTTGTTGATAAACAATTTTTAACCTTTAAACTTTGTTGGAAGATGCTAAGTGGCCTTGTTTGCTATTTAGAGGATATGAGGCTGCTAGGATAAGGTCGGTCTAGCCCACGGCTACACTTGGTCCGAAATGCAGAAACAATGTCAAGAGAGACTCGGCTCTAACTAGAAATGCGTGAAGCTCTAGGTTAGGTAAGTAAGGTAGGACAGAGGAAGAAGATAACCTCTGTTAGCCCTTGCCACCCAAGGGGCGCTGGCTGTCGGCAGCACAGGTTAGAACAGAAGAATGAGTAAGTGAAGGAAGAAAGGTTTGAATCCCACTATCAGCAAAATTTGTCAATATTATATATAGTATTAATATATTTTGTATAATCAAGTTTAAAATATAAAAAAAAATTAATATAATCAGGTTTGGATAATAATTATCTTAAAAGTGATGTCCGAAACTTACCCGAATTCAAAATGAGTACTCTAACTCCTATGCTATGCATCCCTACTTGTCACCTATTAAAGTGGGCTCCAAGCCTTGGGTTTCAATGGGAGTCTGAGGCTATTCAGGTGGGTTAAGTGTTTTGGACTGGAATTGGATGTTTATCCCCTAAGGATTGGTGGTATGAGGATTAGGCCCAATAATGACTTGTTTATCAAAATACAAATGCTACTTGGCTATGCCTTAGTGCTTTGGGCTTTAACAACATTAACATATTCTAATATTAGTAACTAACAAACTCTTATTATTTTATATTAATCATTAATAAAAATATACTAAAATATTCTTCAAAAACTCTAAATGAAATAATTTTTAAATATATATGTTTATAGAACTTAATTAATTAAAAAATTGAAAATTATATATCCAAATCCAAATAAAAAACCATGTGTATAGAGTATAGTATACCCTCTGAGATGGCAATTCATGATCAAAAGAAGAGAGAGTAGGAGAAACAATCAAGCAAAGCGAGATGACGACTTTGGAATTACAGCAGCTAAATAGCATGGACGCTTCTGACTTCCATCACACTCCCTGTTACTGGTTTTTTTTCCCCCTGTGTTTCTTGCTTCCATTACTGAAACTCTTTCAATGTTTTGTGACTCATCCCTGGAAATTCAACTGGCTGTGTTCTTTTGTTTTTTTTTTTTTTTAGTGAGGAGAATGTGTATTTTCTTTGCAAGAAACTTTGCTCTAATGGGATAGCCGATGCTCAAGGATCTGATCTTTTCGTCGTTTTCATTTCCAATGACAATAAACAGGCATGTACGTTTTCCGTTTCCTTTCTGGGTTTTCATTTTTTCTTAGTTTTTTCGCTTGCGTTGGGATTGTTTCTTTAATTCAGATAATGGAATTTTCTTTTTCTTTTTGAAAAGCTTGAAATTTTACATCATACCCTGTTACGGTTTCAAGATGTTTCCTTGAAGAAAGAATGGGAAACTCATCTCTTATACTTTACAAAGTTTATGATTATTGAACAATCTGTAAAGGGTATTCTTGTAAACAATGCATTTTATTGTTGAGTAATAATTATTCCTTTGTGAATCGGGGGCATTTTATGAAATGGCCTTTCAACAAATTGACAAGTGACCTTTTTGTTACAAGTCTAATTTGTATTAGATTGGTTTCAGCGAAGAATTCTTTGGTTTATAGTTTTGGCAAATATTGTTGTGATGTTATTGATAAAACTTTGTAGATTCCACTGTGGCATCAAAAGGCTAGCCATAGAGCAGATGGTGTAATCCTCTGGGATTACCATGTTATTTGCATTCAGGTGAGAGCTGAATCTTCAGTATTGCGAAATCAGTTTGCTTAACTGGTAAATTAGTTTCCATTCTCCTGAGCTCTTGGATCGGTTGATGAGTTGACTTATAATTCATGGTTGCCATTTGTCTCCTTCTAGAGAAAAAGAGATGGTGACACTCATTTTGTATGGGACTTGGATTCAAGTCTTCCCTTTCCTTGTCCTTTAGCTACGTACATGTCTGAAACTGTCCGGCCATCTTTTCAGCTCTTTTCTGAATTTCAGAGGTAATGCTTAGTTTTTTGCTGCTAATGTTTGTATAGAATTACCTGTTGTTGTTGAGTACCTGGATTTGGCTTAAAAGTATTTGCTAATATTTTGTATTTGAGGAACACATATAAAGTTACCTGTCCTTTTTGGTCTTCTTTTGCCTTCTCAGCTAGAAATAATGTGATGATGAAACTGCTAAATCCATGTCTTCTCTTGTAAAACCTCCCATGGTTAATTGTTATGCACTTGAAGTATATAGGTTCTTCAACATATTTGGTGTTAGGATGAAGTGCTTATAAAGAATTTGAAGCAAATTATCACACAGTATATATGCTGCTTTAGGAAATTCCTAGGAAGCTTCCTTAGACATATGACATCAACTAAAGGAGGCTCTTGGTCACCCCCAACAGGGTGTAGATGAAATTTCAAATATAACTTAAACTTAAGAATGTTGATGTCACCAAGTTTTCTCTATGCCTATAGTTGTTTTGATTGATATTATTTTGATAATTATTTTCATTACATCATTATCTTTACCATTGTAATATAATGAGTTTCCAGTAATTAGATACTTTTCTAATTGTGCAAGAAACATGCAAGTTGTCATTGGTAGTTCAAAGTCCTGTCTAACTCAACATGAAATGAAAACATTACCACTTGTAAAGCGTCTTGCATTGAGCTATAGAAGCATTCTGGTGAAGCTTTAAACTCTTCATTTATTGTGTAATTGCCCAATGTTGGAGCTTTTTACAACATCATTAGAAACACATCTCATTTCTACCCTTTTCCAATTTGTCATTCTGTTGAGCACAGAAAAATTGATGCTTTATGTGTTCATTGACGTAGTATGTTCACAGTCTAAGCATGAATTCATGCATTTCTTCTGAGAAACTTCCCCTTTTTTGTTACCCTCTTTTTCCTTTTTCCCTATTATCAGGTTTTTCCGGGTTGTGCATGCTCCAATATTCCTTCATCACTTTGCATCTGATAGAAGACACATGAAAGATTCTGATGGGAATTGGACTGCTCAACCTCCTACATATGAAACCATAGTTGCTGAAGGTACAGTGCTGGCAACTATATGCCCAATATATACCCTATCAATTGCACATCTGTTCCACTCCTATTGGGTTAACACTGCATAATTTTCTAAATTTATTCAGGTCTTGTCTATAATGTCTATCTGGTTTTGGGGCATGTAGAGGATTAATTAGTCTCAGAGAGTAATTACTTTTGTCATAATATTTTACCAAGCTAAATCCCAAAGAGATTGGTTGCTTGTTGAGCCTTTTATCTGCTGCGTTTTTCTTTTTCGTTTGCTCTTAGTCTCTTCCTATTTGTCTGTCTGTAGTTTTTGCTCTTGTAGTTCTGTATTTGTGCTCCTTTCCCTTTGTTAGAAAATAATAATAATAAACTGCTAGTTGGGCAAAATGGATTGACTTTGTTTAAACTCTAACCTATTTAATGACCAGAAGAAATTCCTATGGGCTGGAATGTGAGTTAATATGTAAACTGAGAATGCCTTTCTGCAAATTTTAGAGGTTTTGAAGACTTAAGATCCCAAACTTCTGTGAGCATGAGTGCATTGAGAGCTGTCAGATTTCTGCTGGAGTTTTCTGTTGAATCATACCAAAAATCAAATCACTTCTTACCTTTTAATGGATTATCCGAGGAAGAAAGATATTGCACAAATTTTTGTATTTTGTTTATTGACGTATATGTTGTTGACTCCATGTTCTCTGCAGTCCTTCCTTTCTCATGCATAGTTACTATTGTTGATGTTAGACTCTACACTGTTGATTAAAATTTTGATGTAGGATTAAACTCCTCTTTAAGGTCTTGGAAGAATATGAATTATTCTAAGCAATTTCTATAAGGCTTTTACTTTAGGTTTTGTTTAACTGTTGTTGGTAATGTGCTTATGTAGATGGATCTGTGCACAACTTAAATGAGTACATTGAGATCCATGCTGCAGATGTGGGAAAATATCTACCAGCTGATTTGACCAGTGCTGTTTTTAGTCAGAAGCATGGTGTGGTTTTTGGTGAAGCACAGCTTGAGGAATTCGTTTCTCAAATTTCTTGATTTGGTGGATATTTTTAGCTAGGAGAAGCCAACAACTTGCACGATTGATGCATCATCTGCAATACTTAGAACAGCCACCGTGCAAATGTGTTTTGATAGCTGTATGTGTTGTTTGCATCAGACTGCAAAAATGAAGGCGAGCAAACTTAATGGAATATTGTTCATATATATTATATACAAGATGGAGTAATCTTTCTTTCTTTCATTTTCCATTGGAATGAAATAATTTTTGGTCTTTGATAAGTGCAGTGTCAACTCTTTGCTTGACAGTCTAATAGTTGTTCTTCCTTCGGCTCTTTCTCAGCTGATCTATCCTTGCCCCATGGCTTTACTATTGTTTGCAACTCCAATGGGTGGATAGAAGGAAGTAGGGAGAATCGAGTATCCTGAGCCTATGGCTTCCCACCTCGGGGGTATTTGACTGCTAGTTCATGAGCCTTGGGGGTTACTTGTGAATTGTGATGTTTCTTAGATGGCTGATGGGGTATGATAGCAATAATAAGGAATAATGAATTTAACATAAAGAAATTCTACAACGATTTTGTGCCTGATGCACGTTCTAGTTAGATGGATCAACACGAAGATGCACAAGTGCTACATATTAGAAACCTCTCAATCAAATAATTTAGTTCAAATCAATATCTTCCCATTTCTATAATACATGAGACGTTCATTTTTATTTAATCAATACTTGAAACA